GTCCTCAGCTGGAGGAATTATGCCCTGTGCTTCAGCATAAAGCCTGCTCCCTTCACAGCTTCCAGAGTCACCGTTCAGATCTGTTCACCCTTTTTTTTTGATGTTATAAATCTGGGCAGGGGTACGCTAGATCCCAAGGGATGATGCTGCCTGCTCATTGTTCTTATTTTTCCCATGGGTTGTATTTTATGATTTCTAAGTCTTCCCCAGTTATATCCAGGTCAGGGTAATCTGTTTTACAGAAATATTCTTTGGCATATTTTGTATTTATGCTTTAATGAGCATTAGGAAACTTCGGTACAAAATGGAATGACTAATGGTAATTACAAGAACAGTCACACCACTACAAGAAAATAAACTGCCCACCATATGCTAGATCAGCACTCTTCCAAGCACTTCCTCTACATTCTTGTATTTATTTCTCACAGCAGCCTGAGAAGTAAATCTTTCTACTTGCATTTTATAAGTAAGCCTAAGATGGATTCGAGCTCAAACAGTGCCACCAAGGAAGTAGCCAAGCAGATCTAGGGGATTAGATGTTGCTTTAGGTCAGTTTGGTGGCCCACGTGGCCCTTGATAACTAGCCTTACACAGCTGGGAGACACAGTATGGCCCCAGGGTAATATGCACCCCTCCCAGCAACTCAGCTCACCACAAGGCCAAGGACCACCACCCCCCCCCCATCACCACCAAAGTCGATGGTGGAGGTGGATTGTTAAAATGACTCATGACCCAAAATCCCACTCTATGATGTGGTTCATAGATATACGGCAGGTCATTCTATTCCTGGACAATAATTAGACCTTTTCATTTTATCAAGTATTTGTGGATCAATGTATTTGGATGAGTTAGTCATTTAACAGACCTGACAGTGTTCAGATTATATAATAATGGTCATTTAAAAAAAAACTATTTCAAATATTCCTTGAAGAAGGTCAAAATGCTTGGGAGACATTTGACTAGATCCTCCCAGCACTCCAGCACTGAGAACGGCTCCGAGACGGGTGGCCCTGGCCAAGTCCCACCTTTCCCACTGTCTGGATACAATGAAACAAGGCATATGGTGAATCTCAAGTACTTCCCTCTCTTTTGTGGAATGGATGTAATTCCTTGAGTGTAATATTATTTCAAATGCTGTGTGGGAGCCCGTTCTATCTCTTAAGTTCAGTAATTCCATAATTCATTTTCACGACATCCCTGTGTTCTAAGAGAAATCTCTCTGTTACTGGACCCCCAGGTCCCAGTAACCCAAAGAACAACCAGGGGTCCACCCAGGGGATTTCAGTCAACCTCTGCCTGTTTACGATTGTTGGGGGTGGAGAATAAGGGTCAAATTGCACCCAAAGGGAACTGAGCCTGCTGGTGATGAATGGAAATTGGAATCTGCATTCCAATTCCACATATAAAAATAATGCACAAAAACTTTGTAATTAAAAAAAAGTCAAACTCCTACTCATACAAACACTTTGGAAAATATAATATTCTGAGGAGCAGAGATCCTATATGTACCTTATCTGAATTTCCAATTTTGAAAGATTTTGAACATCTTTGAAGATACCACACTGAAACTATCCTGAACATGGTTTCATTTTTTCTTGTTTTGTGGGTCTAGGACCTCAGGCCATTGATATGTATGTCTTATGGTTGAAAATCACTCAGAGGAAAAAAAGTATTTAGTTACATGGCTTCCTGGCTCATTTGAATTACAATTAAGATGGAATGTTCCTCCTGTACATTCCTTTCTTGATGACATGCAACTTTGTACCAAGACTAGATAATATTGCTTTCTCTGTGGTGACCTTTGTTCTCTGTGTCTTTTCCACCATCTTGGATACAACAGTTCTGTGGAAACAGATCATTCAACGCAATGGAGGCATCATTACCAATGCCTTGAATATAAGTTGCCTGGCAAAGGTCACCGATGGCTTCACCCAGGGACACATAGTCGAGATGGTTCAAGGTGTGCTCACAGACCGCAGAATACGGCAGCAAACTTACAAACCGCTCACAGCTGCCGAGTTTATTGCAATGTTAACCCGCATGAGTCCGGTGTACCAGGAGGAAGAAGAGAGCTTTAAGGTAAACGGAACGCCTATGTGTCCAGGTCTTAGTTGCAAACACTTGTCACATGACCTCCTCCCTCTGGTTCCTGAGTTTCATGAATTTGTTATATACAATGAAATTTGGAAATTTGAAATTTTTAGATCACAAATTCGTTCCAGCCTTGCCGGTAAAGCATGTGCCTTCCAAAATTTAGGAAAAACTGTGGTCTGTGACCTTATAAATTAACAGCCAAATTGCAGAAATAAATAGTAGCTTTGAAACCACTGGATCCAAACACACACACACACACACACACGCATACACATACACACAATATGTACATGTACACGTGCCTTCCCCTTGGTTCTCACTGGTTTTTACTTCATAGTTCATGTAATGGAACAAGCTGTGCATACATAAAGAAAACTAAATAGTGCATTTCCAGCCCCTGCTAGTTTTGTCCCAGATTCGCTGTGGTGTGCTTCATTTTTCAGTGCATTTGCAATAGAAAATCACAAGAGAACTCAACAAAGTGTAATTTTCTAATTTTGTATTATATTGTGTGATGTTCATGGAATTTTTTAGATCTAGAGGAAACTGAGAACCAGCTCTTCCAAATCCCCCTCTTACAGGAGGAAAAGAAGTTGCAGAAAGCTATGCGTCTTATCCAAGCAAATCAACATGAAAGTCTAGACGCCCAGGCCAGCAGGCACGCCTCACACTCCTTTTAATCAAAATGAATACAGTTGTGTTCACTTTCTAGACCTGGAGGCAGTTTCCTTGGCCAACTGGGAAAACAAGGAAGGAAAATTATATCCATGCAATTATACCCACCACAACATTGGCTATGCAATCATCAGAAAAAAGAATCAGAATTCTCGTCTAAGCCTTGTGTGTCTGGAAGCCTGCTTAAGATTAGGAAAATTTCCCTCTGCAATGTATCACTTTTCCACCAACCCTAAAAACCATATTTCTCTCCTGCTTTGCTACTAATGTTTCAGTACAAGGTGGAAAAGAGTCACAATACTGATCCCCCCCCCAAAATTAGCATAGGGATTGGCAAACTTTTCCATAAATGGCCAGAGAGCAAATATTTTAACCTTCGAGAGTTCCGCAGTCTCTGTCACAACTATTCAATCTTGTGTCATAGTATAAAAACATTCATACAAAGTATGTAAATGAATGGGCATGGCTGTGTTCTAATAAAACTTTATTTGCAAAAACAGTCAGCAAGCCAGATTTGGACCATCAGCTATACTTTTGCTGACAGGGGTCTAGCAAAACTGCAAAGAAATATTTCCAACTCCAAGCTGGAGTTTTTGTCAAGGATTTGAATTAATGTTCTTGTTAACTGTTTAAACCTTGTTAGAATTAATTACAAATATTTGTCCTCTTCATGTGATAGATCCTATTCTTTTCTGAAAGTCCCAATTTTTTTCCTTTGTAAAATAATCATTTTCCTTCTTATTCTGAGGAGCTAGGTTTAGGGTATTAAAATCTATGCTTTCTCTTAGCTGGGTTTTTAACTTTCCGAAGTGATTTGTAGACATTTTTCTGTTATAGGTACTGGAGGTCCAGTAACTACAACTGATCACACTATTCAAGAGAAGGAAATCCTACCATTGTATAACCTGATATAAGAACACATATGCTTCTCACTTCCATTCTTGGCATATTTGATCATTTTTTTTTTGAGCAAACTAAATCATTTTTCCACCATCACTACTAGCCCCCTTCCCCATCAGTTTCTGCTTCTTATAGTAGCTCAAGAGCTTGGCACAGCACTCAGCCCCAACTAGATGTTCAATACACATTTTTAGTGGCAAATTTATTGAGCAGATGGATAGATGGGCTGCCACTTCACACCGATGAATAATATGATACTGTGGTTGTAGTTGCCTGTGATCATGCCAATCATTTCTGCCCTGAGAAATTGGACCTAACCGTGTTTCTGACAGTGTATCAGACTAGCATCTTGCAGAGTCTCCAAACACATCATATCGTGCTCTGTGGATATGATGGAGAAAATAATTAAGGATAATGATGGTGATAATCATAATAATTGTTAGTTGATACTTACTGACTACGTATGTGCCAGGCGCTGTTACAACTCATTTAGACCTCATAATTTCCCAATTTTTCAAATGGAAATTGAGTCATAGACAGGTATGGTAGGCAGAATAATGGCCTTCCAACGATGTCTACATCCCAGTCCCTAGAACCTATAAATATGTTAGGTCACATGGCAAAAGGAGTTAAGGTTGCAGATGGAGTAAGGTTGTTAATCCACTGAACCTAAAATAGGTTATCCTTACTTATACTGGTGAGTCCAACATAATCATAAAAAGTAGAAAAGGGAATCAGAAGAGAGAACCAAAAAGTTAGCAGCGTGGGAAGGATCCACTGGTACTCCAAGTAGCCCCATGTTGCTAGCTTGAAGATGAAAGAGGGACCACAAGCCAGAAGAGCAGGTGGTCTCAGGAAAGTGCAAAAGGTAAGGGAATAGATTCTCCCCTGGAGTTCCAGAAAGGATTACATCCTACAGACACCTAGATTTTAGCCCAGTGAGATCCATTTTGGACTTCTGACCTTCAGGACCGAAAGATAAGAAATGTTTTGTTTTACGTCACCAAGTTTGTGGTAATTTGTTGCAACAGGGAAAAAAAAGGAGGCAAAGTGACTTGCTCCTAGTCACACTGCTAAAAAGGAGCAGAGCTGAAATTCAAACCATAGTCCAAAGACAATGTTATTACCTATGTTCTATACCATGTCTCAATAAATTAGGAGTTCATCACCTTACATTTAAAACAAAGCCAAAGCAGCAATGTCCACAATAGCCAAACTGTGGAAAGAGCCAAGATGTCCATCGACAGATGAATGGTTAAAGAAGATGAGGTATATATACACAATGGAATATCATGCAGCCATCAAAAGGAATGAGATCTTGCCATTTGCAACGACGTGGATGGAACTGGAGGGTGTTATGCTGAGTGAAATAAGTCAATCAGAGAAAGACATGTATCATATGACCTCACTGATATGAGGAATTCTTCATCTCAGGAAACAAACTGAGTGTTGCTGGAGTGGTGGGGGGTGGGAGGGATGGGGTGGCTGGGTGATAGACATTGGGGAGGGTATGTGCTAGGGTGAGCGCTGTGAATTGTGCAAGACTGTTGAATCACAGATCTGTACTTCTGAAACAAATAATGCAACATATGTTAAGAAAAAAGAAAAAGAAGAAGATAGCAGGAGGGGAAGAATGAAGGGGAGTAAGTCGGAGGGGGAGACGAACCATGAGAGAGGATGGACTCTGAAAAACAAACTGAGGGTTCTAGAGGGGAGGGGGGTGGGGGGATGGGTTAGCCTGGTGATGGGTATTAAAGAGGGCACGTTCTGCGTGGGGCACTGGGTGTTATGCACAAACAATGAATCATGGAACACTACATCAAAAACTAATGGTGTAATGTATGGTGATTAACATAACAATAAAAAGTTAAAAAATAAGTAAATAAATAAATAAATGAAAAGAAGCAGGTGAAATGAAAAATAAATAAATAAATAAAACAAAGCCAAAGCAAAAAGAAAGATGAGAATAATCCCCAAGTGCCAGGAACAAAGATAAATCTCAAACAGGGACAACCATGTGCCTGGCATGCTGCATAGAGAAAAGTCAAGGCTAGGAAACAAAGAAGAAACCAGGGCCATGGAGGATAAAGTGGCAATACCTGCTGCTTCTGTGACCAGATCTGTGGTATGTCGACATCACCAAGGAGCATTAACTTCAAAGCATCACTACAAGATGTGTTTTTGCATTTGGCTTCCAAGGATTGTGTAGAAGCATGTGTGGGGGAGGGAGAAATGAGAGAGATGGAGACCACAACAGAGCCTCCTACTCAGAATGAACCTGAAAATAAAAATTCCAAGACATTTTAGGAAATCTAGTGCTAAGTACAACCTTACAAAGATGTTTAAATTAATATAATTCAGATGTTCAAAAAAATAAATGAAGGCATCATTTCCAATAGAGATGTACACTAAGTTTTGGAACAAAGACAGGCAGAAATGGAATAAGAAGAGATAATTATGGGAAAAGGCACAAAAAGAAAGCTTGGAAATTAAAAAGACAATAATTTGAAATGGCAAAAATAAAAGAGGTGTGAACTCTAGACTAGACATGGTCAAAGAGCAATTTATGGACTGGAGGATACTCCCTCCAGAAGCAGCACAGAAAACCAAAACGGTAAAATCTATAAACTGCAATTAAGAACCTTTGAAGACATTGACACATAACTTAAAGAGGCTCTAAAAGAAAAGAATAGAAGAAATATTAGAGGAACAATTATTTGAAGAAAGATTTGCCGAAAATATTCTTGAATTAAAGACATGAGTTCTTAGGTTAAAAATGACCTCCAAGTGACCAGCGGAACAAATTAAAAAAATCCACACACACATACATTATTGTGAGCCTAGGACTAAGATAACAAACTAGTCTTCAAAGATGCCAGATTGCCTACAAAGAAACAACAGTGGGGAGGTCTGGCAGCTCTTTGATAGCAATCTATTCCAGAAGACAGTGCGATCATTTCTGCAAAGTGCTGAGGAACAATAACTGTGTACCTCTATTTATCCCCAACTAAATTACCACCCAAGAGACAGGAAACAATAAAGACATTTAAGACTTGAAAAGACTGAGCTAGACTCCCACTCAGAGCAATTTAGAAATATCCAGTAAAATTAAAGATGTACATGCCTACCCACCCCCCAGGAATTCTGTTTCTATGTATATGCCTTAGAGAAGTTTTCTCATAAGTATACAAGGAGATATGTACAAATTCCTAGTGACAAGTTGGAAATGGCCCATATGTCCATTAATAGGAGAACTGATAAACAACTGGTAGTGTAGTCATTCAGTGAAATATTATTACTACTCTAAAGTTTATAAATGAAAATGTTTCTGAGCTTTCAAATGAAAAGTGAGGGTTGAGAAAAATGTATTCACAGGGCCAGCTGGAACCACGAGGTGTTTGGTTGGTATGTTGGCTCCAGTATTTCTGCCATGTCTTCAATAGTCCCCCTCCCAGTGTTTGTGTGGCCTCCCACGGCTCCCACGTGTCTAGTTTCCTGTGGCCGTGTGTGAACCCCAGAGGATCATTCATGTTACCAAGAAAGCCCACACCCTCAGGATAGAGTAAGATCCCCAAAAAGATAGGTGACTAGTTGATGGGAAGAGCTGCTGGTTAGATTTGGTCTGTGATTCTCTGAAACTGTTAACTCCTTGAGGTGGAAATTTCAAGTTTTGTCAAAATACAGGTTGGAAAACCCCCTGAAAAAGAATTTGTATTAAATATACATTAAATGTCCAAAGTTTAATGGCTACTTGTCCCTTCCTTCCTTAGCAAGCTTTTCTTTATCTTTAAGAATGTTCCAGTGAATTTGTGCCGTTTTGATATTTTCCTAAACATCTGTTTTATTTCAGAACTGGTACGCCAAAACCCCCACGGGTAAAAAGCGAGCCTTGGCGCTAACAGGAGGGGACATTGAGAAAGAAAAGGATAAAGGGAAAAAGAAGGGGAAAAAGGAGAAGAAAAAGTAAAGCCCTTCTGAGGAACCATCCTTGAGTGTCTCAGGGATGGAGGTGGTCCTGACCTGCTGAGGAGAAGACTCACCATTGCCTGTCTGAGGAAGACCCCGCCGACGCCCTGAGCTCATCCGCCCCTGCGTTCACTCAGATCTTTAGTAGGCTGCGCACCACGTTCGATGTCCACCACAATTGTTTCTAGAGCTCATGATTGTTTCTCAGGCTGTGTAAAGTTTGTGTGTAATGGAACTCCACTCCACACACAGTCTTTCCATCTCGTCAGCACTCGTCACCAAATTTACAACGTGATAGTTAGAAAATACTCTAATTTGACAATTAGTAAGTGATTTGAGTCTGTCACCAGCACTCTGGCTTTTTATTAATCCATATACACTGTATATTATCTTGCACATATTTTAATACAATAATTCTTTGCTCTATTAATCTAGTTTATATAATGGAATAAAAACTGTTGTCTTTGAACCGACTCAGTAATTTGGTTGCTGGAGCCAAAAAAGATGTTTAAAATTAGCGAGCTTGGGGGCACCAGAGTGGCTCTGTCAGTTGAGCATCTGACTCTTGGTCTCAGCTCGGGTTTTGATCTCAGGGTTGTGAGTTCAAGCCTCATGTTGGGCTCCATGCTGGGTGTGAGCCTACTTAAAAAAAAAAAATTAACGAGTTTAATCTTCTGATTTTGAAGACGGCAGAACCGAAGCCCAGGATCACACGGTGGACATCTGGGACAGAGGGACTAAAATCATCCTCCCTTCCAGCCTGGTGCTCTTGAGAAGCATGTGAATATGAGCAGGCTGATGGCTAGATGAAAAGTACTACAGAAACATAGGGTAAATGTGGAAAAGAGGAAACCTGAATGCAGAAGCAAGAAATGCTAAATGAGAACAAGACTAAAAAAATAGAAAAATAATGGTCAAAGATAAATTTAAATTTTGTATGAATATGAAAGTTTGTTGGGTGGAAGATAGTAAGTAACCTGCTCCTAAGTTGTGGTGAGAATGCCATCAGAGGAAGCAGACAGAATTTATTTGAAATTGAATTTATTTATTTATTTAAAGATTTATTTATTCACTTTAGAGAGAGAGAATGAGCACGCACAAGCAGGGGGAGCATAGAGGGAGAGGGAGAATCTCAAGCAGACTCCCCACTGAGCACGGAGCCCGACATGGAGCTCGATCCTGTGACCCGGAGATCATGACCTGAGCTGAAACCAAGAGTCGGAGGCTCAACCAACTACACCACCCAGGTGCCCCAGACTTAAACTGAATTCCATCTGAAATTTAGGAATACCCTATCTGACAGTTTTGGTCACACCATAGAAGGTTGTAGAATCTCCTGCTCTGTAGACCAAGCTAGCTCTCTGGGTTTTCCTGGATTCCTGGTAAGTTAGCTCTTCAATGCCCCCTGCTTTCTGGTGTCTTCTGGTCCCCAGCACGTGCCCCCCTCAGCTGGTGTCTACATGGGAGACAGGCACAGATTAGGACAGAGACAGCCACAGGCCCGTGTGCTGGGGACACGCTCTGCACACACCAGAAGGCAGTCTCCCAAGTCTGCATTCATAAATGACCTCAGCTTTCCCACTGGCCTCCTGCAGACTTGCCTCCTCTTCCCAAAGCAACCCCGGTTTCCACAGACGGTGGGTCTGCCCCCCACTACCTGCTTCAGACTGCATCTGGCCAAGGCCCAAAGTGGCTTGACAGATGGGCAGACTCCGCACCCCAACCTCAGAGAGCAGTTCAACTTTCATGGGTTCTGGACAGTCGCTTCCTGTCACATAGAATGGGAACCAGACCATTGATTATGACCCAAGAAGAGACTTGAAGGCTCTAGCATTTGATGCTCATTACAAAAGAGTAGGATCCGCATTGTCAAGAAATGAAAATCATGAAAACTGTAAAGAAATAAACAGTGTTAACGTGTTACAAGTAGACAAGATCATGCAACTTGGTCTTGGTTTAACGACAAGCGCCCTTGGTCAGAACTCATACAAATTTGTGTTGGTAAAGCTTAATAAACAATAATTAAATGGCAGAAGTATAACGGATACCCATGCGTTCCAGCAGCCCCATCCAGGAGGACTACCCACAATGACCAAAATGGTGGTCCAGGTCTGTGCTCTCCCACGGCAACAGCCAACAGTCACACGCAGCTACTAAGCACTCGAAGTGTGGCCAGTCCAACTGAGGGACAGAATTTTTTTTTATCTAACGCTAATTTAAATAGCCTCATGTGGTTAAGGTGATTACATATTGGACAGTCCGGCTTCAGAGTAATTGGTAGGCTAGCCTAATGACTATCATCCCGCTGTCCCCTGCTCTTCCTCATGGCACCCCCACACTGAGACTGGATTGTTCCTGGTCACATGGTCTCCCCCCAAACTATGGCCTCCTGCCCCTCACAGTGCTAGATTTTCGCTTGAGTTCCCTACGGCTTGACCCACCCCACTCTGCCTCCTGGTCCCCGAGAACAACGATGCTGCCTCCCACCCCAGCGAGCTTTGGCCTGCTCACAGGAGCCCTCTGCTCTGCGCAAGCAGACCCCCCATATGTCACTGCCAATTCCACAGGAGCCTGGCACGCTGTTGCCCAGCACAGGTGGTATTCACACCACGGCTACTGCTTTGGATGTGTGGCAGGAGATGTGTATATGTATGCACATATGCTTACACATACATATACTCCACTGTTTTTACACACAGGATTATATATCATAGATATATTGTTTTACCCCCTTGCTCTTTTCACTTAATAATATACCTTGGGTATTGTTTTATATCAGCACACGCAGATTGGCCTCATTTTACGTCAGCTACATAATGCCCCACTTTATGGATATAGCGTAATTTAGATAGATGGATGGATGGATAGATGATAGATCAAATATAGCATAATTATTTATTCATACAGCATAACCAGTCTCTGACAGACATTTAGATTATGTCCACCCTTTTGCTGTTCCATCAGTGCCCAGTGGATACTTTTATACATTCTTTTTTCTCGGTAGGTATGGGGAAAAAAATCTGTGGGATAAATTTTTAGAAGAATTGTTACCGGATCAAATTACCTGTGCATTTAAATCTGAGTAGCTCTCACCAGGTTGCCCTCAGAAGAGGTGCCCAGGGGTGCCTGAGTGGCTCAGTTAAGCGTCTGCCTTCAGTTCAGGTCATGATCAAGCCCTGTGTCAGGCTCCTTGATCAGCAGGGGCCTGCTTCTCCCTCTGCCTCTGTCCCTCCCCCCTGCTCATGCTTGCTCTCTCTCTCTC